GGCAGCGGCCCCCGGGAGCACATGGCTCTGCCGTGGCTGGCCCGACACGCGGCCCGGGACCCGCCAAGCGCTTCCGACTCGGATACCAGCAAGGAGCGTCTCAGCAGTGACCTACTCTAGCAACCCCCATGACCAACCTCTCTACCCAAATACCTGAAAGAAAGCAAGAATGAAACATGTAAGGAGCAAAAACATCTACCGCTTTCCAATCTTAAACCATAGAAGCCGATTCTACTACATCAAATTTTAAAATAATTATCTCTGCGTTCAAAGGGAATATGAAGTGAAGTTAACACAGAGCTGTGCGCTGAGCTCAGTTTGTGTAGGAACTGCCTGCCTGATATGCGCCCGTACCATGAAACAATTTTACTTTCAAAAGAAAATGAAGTTGTTTGCATTTTCTCAGATGTTCATCCTTTATATTTCACTACAGGTTCAAAAATTTCTTCGAGCACATTTCTTCCTTTTTTTGAAATATACCAAACAATTTCTTTCCCTTTTGCCCTCTGATTTTTTTATTTGCTTATCCCTTCTTCTCCTCATTCTTCACCGTTTCCTCATTTTTATTTTTGCTTATTCCTCATCTATCCTTTAAATTCTACTGAAAGAAAGATTAGTACCAGAGCGTACTGCACCTAAGTACTCCCATCGCCTTCTGGGAATAAACCGAGTAAAATGAGATAACCTTTATCTGTATCTCATACAGAAACCCCGGTTTTCCAGTGAGTATCTGCTATACATCAGATCCACCCATTCTACCATTTCCTAGAGAAAGGTTCAGAAAAGAATCTCCTCATTCTTCACCGTTTCCTCATTTTTATTTTTGCTTATTCCTCATCTATCCTTTAAATTCTACTGAAAGAAAGATTAGTACCAGAGCGTACTGCACCTAAGTACTCCCATCGCCTTCTGGGAATAAACCGAGTAAAATGAGATAACCTTTATCTGTATCTCATACAGAAACCCCGGTTTTCCAGTGAGTATCAGATCCACCCATTCTACCATTTCCTAGAGAAAGGTTTAGAAAAGAATCCATTCGCCTACAAACTCTACTCATGCCCTAATTATGAATACAATATTAATATTTACTATATTAATTGCATAAATATTTAAATGTTTGTTTTGTGGTTATAAAAATACTAATACTTTTCCCTCTCTTTCTGCTTCCTCTGCCTCCTGTTCAAATCAGCTCTAATCAAATTTAAAGTGGGAAATACTGCTCTGCTGCATATGGGAGAATACTTATACATTATATTTCCATAAGAATTTCATTTAGTTTTTCAGGCAGAAGCAGCTTTTCCTGACTTTCCACATCAAACCTTAATGCTTATTCACCACAAGATAAGAAAATGTCATTACACCATCACTAGCTCAAGCACCAACATATACTTATCCCAACAGATACAATCTGAGCATTAACAAAACAGGTTATTACCCTATTTATTAAAAATTTATGACGTGTCCACTCCTGCACCAAACACAAACCATGCAAGAGAAGAACTGCAGTAAAAAGGAGGAAGAATATAAAAATTCAAGTTCTTGATATCTTGCATGTATTTAACATTTGCTTGCTCTTCTATCACTTTATCCATTACTTATTTCTTTAAGTCTAGAAAGGAAATTACACGCTGAAATTACTCAAACAACTAGCCGTTATGAATCTGATCTTACAGTGAAGACTACTAGGTTGATGTGAAGTCCCAAATCCATAAAACTTGAGATGGATGAAATAATTATGCTAACAGATTGCACGAAGTTTTGAGGATCTGCAATACTTTCTGCAAGGACAGGAAACATACTTTTTTCCTCTAAATTATGTTCTTTTCATTTGGCAAGAACATATGCCTACTGCCTCCCCCCAAATTCTTCTTATCTATTACTATGAAACTGAAACCAAAACAATTCTATTTATCAACCACAGGCAATAATGCTTCCAGGAACACCCTGAAGTCAAGCAGGAACACCCAAAATATCACAGAAGCTGGCAGTACAGAGCAAACACACGTAAATCCTTTTCAAATGCAATCCTACCAAAACTAACAAGTGTCTTAATTTTATTTGATCGTAAATAGCATCATCATATCATCACTGTACAAGAGGCAATGTATTCTGAGTGGTCACTGCCCTGAGTTAGGAAGCTAAAGTTCAATTCCTACTGCAAAAACCCAAGTGCTGTGGGACCCTGGGCAAGTCATTTATCTCTTCATTTCCACTACCACATTTTGTTCACCTTTCCTACTTCTGTCTGAAGAGTTTGCTGTCTTAACCCTTTTCAGAAAGGCCTTCTAATCTCAATTACATGTCTAGACATAGCTGAAGGAAGAGGAATTCTAGTATTAATGCTAATTACACCTACAGAATCAGCTGGAGCCTGACAACAGCAGGAACTAAGCACATGCAGCCACAAAAGGTTTGTTTTGATGCAACACTGCCAGTTTACCTTTCAAATTTTGAGACCACAATCTCATAATATTTTCTAGGTAAAACACAAACACTGCTAAAACTGAAACATTTCAAGACAAAACACAAAACGCATAAACAATTAAGAGGAAAAAGATGACAGGAATCACAGTAAAGCCACGAGCTGAGCTAAGCCCTGGAACTACGCTTCAACTAAAGATTTTCTTTACGTTCCCTTTAACTGATACCTGTATCCCAGTTCCATGCATTTTCAAAAATAGAAGCTTCTCCTTGTTACTATTTTCTACTCACCGCAAATCGCTGTTATGAATTAGCGTGTCTCCTTCATTTGTGTTTTAAGCTAAGCATTACATAAAGCTCAAGCACGAGTACCTGAGCGCAGCTGTACACAGCTTTTGGACAAGCAGCCCTTTTAGCTATGCAGAGTACAAACTTCCCCCAGCTGTCCAGCAGTACTGCATCTTTGCCGTCTGACGTTTTGTGTTTCGCTTTTCTCCTCCCAAATACACACACGTGTAAAAACATTAAGTAGTTGCTCATATGTTCATCAAATACCAATTAATGAGAGAAGGCTATTTAAGTAAAGCTTAATTTTCTGCTTTTGCGGCTAGCAAGCATTAGCACCTCTAAATCAGGAAAGTAACAGAAGACTTCAGCCATGTGACAGATGCACACCCCTCCCTCTCTTCTCCAGAAAATGGTTTTACCATTCAAAAACCCAATATCATTAATGCAGCGACTTACTTGGGTTGGAACGAGTACTGGAGGATACGCTAGCTTGTGATGTCTGTACATCCAAAACGAAAAGAGCACAATCACTGCAATTCCCATTATAGGCACCAATGAATAAAGCAAGGTATTGAACAGAGGCGGCTTAGGTGTGACAGGATTGGAAGTCGCTGAAGGGGGAGAAAAAAAAGGACACAGCTTTTAAGAAACAAAAATCATACAGTGTTTGACCTGTCTAGCACCCCCATTTTCTAAAAATTCCTGCAATCAGCACAACAGGGTAACAATACTTGATTAAATAGCATGCTCTAATATAAACAGACACATAAAGGCAGCATTTTGGAAAGCGCAGAAGTAACTTGGATCCCCAGATTTACGCATCAGCACATCTAACTTTTTTGTGCTTCTAAGCTCCGCCTATCCACAGCATGTCAGCGGTGTTTGTATTTTAAAAAGCTTACAAGAATGCCATCACCTAACGAATGAAAAACGAATCAGTACAGAAATTTAGTCTTTGGAGTGTATGCCGTAAGGTGTCATTAATAAGTAGAACAGGCCAGAAATAATCTGCCAGCATTTCTAGGCGCTGCTGACTTGCTGAAAGGGAAAGCTCTCTAGCTGAAGACGCTGCCAGAGCTGCTCCAGAAAGGCTCCCGAGAAGCCCTGCTCCGGAGGCAGCTGGTGCAGGGGCAGCCACGGACCCCTGGGGCAAGAGAGGTTTCATGAGAGTGTAGGAGAATGTCAATTATTGCCTTAGCGGCATCACTGGCAAAAATGACAAGAGTATCTCTTGGGTCAACAAAGGCTATTTTAATCTCATAGAAAAAGTTATTTAATTTCATAAACAACTTCCTCTGGGTATTTGGTACACAAGACATTTGCTGTTTTCAGTTCGGTTATTAACATTATTCAGTTTTCCAACAAAGATTAGATTCTTGACTGGAAGAAGATATGCAAGAGTAATCAAATAATCTTTTCGTTATTGTTTTTTAAAACAATTATTTGTTAAGTCTGGCTATCTGATTTTCCTTGTAACCTGGGAGGAAATTCTTTCCCCCTTTTTAAAGGTTACTGTGTCAATTTATAGAGAAACTCAGAGGTCCAATTAGTCTAAAGAATTGGCGAGAGCATTGTTTCAAGAAGAGGAGCGTTCATGGGCTGGTACATGCATGTAAGGTTGATACGGCTTTTAGCCCAATGATTTATAGACACTTACAGAAGCTTAGCTATACAATTAAGGAGAGATTTGACAGTAACTTCTGTATCTTAAAACAGCCAATTATTTCAGATTATCCTTCCTTCTCACCCTTAGAAAAGAGCTGAAGTACCTTTTATCAATTTAAATTACTCCTAGTATAGAGACCTTTCAAAACTGAAGAAACGAACCGGCAATTTTCTAGGCTCTTTATGTGAATGCACACAGTGCTCTGTCATCCGGGAATCACAAACCTTCTGGCAGGAAAAACTGACCACAACGTTTTGAAAAGTCTTATCTCCCGAACATGTGCAATATTAAATATTTCTGAACTCTGCTAAGCAGTTCCTTCATGAATGCGTTAGTCTAAACTTACGTTGCGTAACCTCCATTTCTGGAAAATAGAAAAAGCGTTCGTTACACATGTTGCCTTCACAACAACAGAAAAACACTTCAGGGCTGTCTTTCTTCTCTATGCAATCATTCCTATAAAAGATAGTAATAAAAAAAATCCTCATTATCTTAAGTTGGGGGGGGGTTGTTCAAGAGAAAACATATGCTCATATTTAAAATTTAAACTGAACTTCATTAAATCATCCAGGACAACATATTACCCAAAGAAAAGTTAAATCTGAAGAAACAAAGTTTTGTTCATTATTTTATATTGCAATGAAATATCATTAATATTAAAACTGAAACAGCACATTTTTGCTATTTTTAAGACAAAGTTAAAGAAAACCACCAACAGGATGGATTTCAAAAGCTGACAAAAATACCGAAGAACAGTTCACAGTCTAGATTTAAACAGGACAACCAAATGATCAAAGGGCTAGTGTTTAACCATAAACTCGCAGTACAGGGTTGCATGGGTTGGAGATAACTGGGAAGGAGAATTTTTATTTTTTTTTCGGGGGGGAAAAAAAAAAAAAAAAAAGATAAAATTTCTGCAATTTCCCCTGCCTACATTATGCTCATGGCCAGGGCCTATTTCACAGGAAAAGGAGTTCTACTAACAAAGAAGCTGAAACTATTCAAGTCAGGAAAAAAAACCAGGAGTCATGCAGGAGACGACAGCAGAAAGACAAGAATTTGAAAATCCTGCAGAAATAGTTGAGGATTTTAAATACAGCTGAAGATTGTCAAAAGAGTTTTGGGTTCATCTTCAAAAATTAGGGTATTTTATAGAACCAGCTATTACAATTACACTGTACTGTAACTTCCACAAAACATTTATTCTTTGGTGTTCTTAATCTGGTGTTGTTTGGAGTTCATCATACTGTAACTCTCTGTTTAGTAAACTACTCTTCACTCCCAGAGATAAGATTTTGTTTAACAGATATTTCAGACAAACAGAGCAGCATGCATTCTTATGACAAGTTACAGCTAATGAGGTCTGAGAGCCAGACAAAATTCTCAGCTTTCAGCTATTTCCTTAACGTCCTTCCTGCATTTTTATTTCTTCTTCCAAATTATTTTCTTTGCTTTAGGGAGAAATTAATACCAATGTTTTTAGACTGTTCAAAGATACACGTGTAACTAGAGAGATAGCAATGCTACAGAACCCAATTCTATTTCCAAATTGAAAAATTCTATTTCCATCCTAAAAGTTCAACATTTAGCAGAAATAAACTTAGTTCAGAAACTGTAAATAACCCCACTTCTTCTGCAAAGCTATAATTAAAAACAGATTTAAAAAAACAAACCCAAAGTACTTTCCTATCCTGAGTGACTTACAGTTCCTAGATATTACCAGCAACAAATAAGATTCCTTTAAAATCGTCCTTTGCCTTCTAGTATAGCCAAATTTCAATCATGCTGTGCAAGCAAGCTTGCAGATGCTTTGCTACTTCTCTGAGAAACAGATAAATCAGAACTACTGTTCAACTTAGCTTTAAACTGTCATTAAAGGAGAAAACATCCTAGTGTGGGGGGAAACTTTATGTGGTAGAAATTGCTATAATGATTTCTTCCACTCATTTAATAGTTAAGAAACACAAAAGGAAAATTCGCTAAAATATTGTTAGAAATTATTTCTAAATACATTTTAATAAAGATCTATTATGCATTTATTTTCTTAATTCTCTCCTTTTCTACACTACCTGTTTTGGTCAAATAAAACTTAGTACAATACTTCAAAGAACTATGATACCATTTCTTAAGAGAGTCATGACCTTTATTCAGCCAATATCTAACAAACCCAAAGTCCTGCTGTTACTGCTCACGGGTACTTGCTAGACCATCTGTTATAGTAAAAGCAACTGGAGTTTTAGAATATTCAACGTCTCTTCCTGACACTAAGGCAAGCTTTTTAATAAATTGGCAAAGTACTTTCACGTTTAATTAAAGAGCAGACACAATGTGCTGACTTTCCTGCTCCAAAGACTTTGGAAAAGTGAACTACAGAATTTTGCATTCTGGTTTCAGTAAGTGTATTTGCATTGTTTGGCAATACCAAGTCATTGGAAAAATCTATTATTAATGGCCTAAAAAAGAATGAATTAAACACCTGTTTTATAATATATAGTAAGTAAATAAGAGAAGGTAAAACATGCTATTCTGCAAACAAGACAAACTACTTGGATGAAGTCACGTCCCTAAATACAGGTACGTGACCAAAAGGAAAAAAAAAAAAAGCATAAAAGCATGTGTGAATGCATGTGTGTGTGTGTCTAAAACCAAGATAACAAGACTAGCGTATTGTTGCTTGTCTCAAGTACTGTTTGCAAAGGGGAGGTTGTATGTTTGTATGTCTGCCTGCCTGCCTGCCTGTATGGACAGGCAAAATAGTTTAAAATAACAAATAAACATAAAATTTATAGGAAAACTCACTTACCTGTCATAACAATTGATGTCATCTAGCCAGCAACCCTGCTTCACAATTTCAATCGATCCAGAAATATTCTTCCATGTAGCAAAACAGTGTCGTCTTTTATCTTTATCGCCATAACAAGGTTCAATACCACTCCGATTTGTTTTATCTTTTTCCCAATTAGCGTTGTAGTAGATACACTCTTGTGTTTCTGATCTGCCAAGTATGGCACCTTTTAGGAATAAAAAGGAAATCACAATTAAATGGCATTCTGAAGGATGAGATGTGTGAACAGTCAAACCCAGGACGTACTAAAATATCATACACCACTTGCATTAATATACCCTCTCCCCTCCTTTTTTTTTTTTTTTTAATAAAGAAAGAAAACATTTAAAGTTCACAAGCATTCCAAAGAAGTGTTGAAACATAAATGAAAGATCTTCTGTTAAGTCAAACGGTGACTTGGATAACTTATCAAGATTTGAAGAAATAAAGAACAAGTTATGGCAATACTTTTCCTTTTTTACAGCAATAGGAGAGAAAATTTAAAACACTGACCAGTAACGACTTAATTATAATATTAGCCAAACAAGGAGTTTTAGCTAGTGGAATTTACCAAAAGGCATTTTTGTCTCTTACGTTGTTACACATGTGCTGCTTTTGGCTGGGGTAGAGTCAATTTTCTTCATAGCAGCTAGCATGGGGCTGTGTTTTGGGTTTGTGGGAACCAGTGCTGATCACAGAGGGACATTTTCGTTACTGCTGAGCAGCGCTGACACAAGAAGCCGGGAGGGGACGCGGCCGGGACAGCCGACCCCAGCTGACCCAAGGGCTGTCCCACACCATACGACGCCACGCTCAGCACATAGAGCTGGGGGCAGGAGGGGGAAGGGGGGGACGCTGGGAGGGACGGCGTTCGTCTGCCCGAGTCACCGTGATGGAGCCCGGCTTCCCTGGGGATGGCTGAACGCCTGCCCGCCCATGGGAAGCGGGGAATGAATGCCTTGCTTTGCTTCACTTGTGCGCAGCTTTTGCTTTCCCTATTGCACTGTCTTTATCCCAACCCATGAGTTTCCTCACTTTTACCCTTCCGATTCTCTCCCGCTTCCCAACGAGGGGAGTGAGCGAGCGGCTGGGTGGGGCTTAGCTGCCAGCTGGGGTTAAACCATGACAACATGCCAAAAAAAAGGAGTTTGTACATGTTAGAAACCTAAACACAACTAATGAATTCAGTTTTAAACCAACACCTTTTCCCCTAGCTTTCATCTGCGACGTAGCTCCTTAACACAAAGCACTGAAGTATAACACACCACGCTAAAATAGCGTATTTCATGTCATTCTGATTTGCCAAGTGAGCAACCGGAATTGAGAGCAAGTGAGGCAACAGTCCCTCACTGCCAAAGGCAGCGCTGGTTTTTTGCTGTGTGGTCCCACCCAGTCAATCAGCTGCAACACAGAAGAGCTCAGGTCTTTGTCGTAACCCAGGATCCAAGTGCTTCCACCCCGGGGAAGGCCCAGGAGCACGTCTCCCCTTCCCACAGCGCGCACCCAACATACGCGGTGGGATCAGCCACCATGGCTGATGTGCAGGCGCCGATGCAGCCTGTATTAAACATGCTGCTGGACCATAACGGACTGGCAGACTGGCTTAGCCTATCCTGAAAGCATGTGATCTTTTTTTTTTTTTTTTGGTCACCCCAGTATCCTTAAAAATAAAAGTTTCAGAACTTTTGAATTTAGTTGTGTCTTTCACATAACAAATGTAATTGATTCATTGATGCCTACTGACAACCTACAGCAAAACCCAGCAAATATTAAGACTGAGGCACCTCTAAGTGGAGGTAACTTCATAGTTTTAATGTCATACGAACGACCGATCTGGCTTCAGCAAACGTAAAGGATTCTTAGGATGCAAATCTGTTAACAAAATACTGGAAGGGAGCAAAAGTGGCTTTTACTTCTGTTTTTATCTTGTCAAATACTGCCAAGAGCGTGTCATTAATCTTCATCATTTAACACATATTAAAAACATGGAGAAACAAAGGGGGAGAAGAAAGACCTAAAGAGTGAGAGGACCCACTTCAAAATTGAGGCCAGGTCAGGAGGCTGACAAAGCACGTTTGCTTTGCCGGTGCACCCATGCGGTGTTTGAGAGAGACACGTACATTAGATCAGACTTACGCAGGTCTCCCGTAGCAGCCAGTTTCATACATGTTTATTTGTATCACTCATTACCTCCTTTATTCACGTATATTCACAATAATTTTGATACATAGCTGTTGCCTTGTAGCCATACCGGTACTTCTCACTCTCCTACGTGAGGGTGTAACGAGCAGAGCAGCGATAAGCCTGACTTTTGTGGGATGAAATCTTCGTCACCCAGGCACTCTACCCAGCAGCGGTGGGAGGTGGGGGTCAGGGTGACTGGTAGGGGCTTCCATCACATAACACCTCCTCGGACACACGCAACTGACAGTAAGGGAATTTTCCTCAGTCAACAGACCCGATGGTACAGGGACCAAAAAAGCTGCACCTCTCAGGGTGATGAGAATTATTTCAAACCGCAAATTGCTGCAGCTCTCTTGAAGTGGAGCACAGGACGTCAGTCGAGCGCAGCGCGGACCGCACTGGGCATCCCACATTACCACCTTCAGGAACTTTTGACTTTGACGCATTCCCAAAATAGGCAGAGGATGCTGCTTACGCTTTTTGGGAAAGAGCCTGGATGTTCAATGGGAGAAATGCACTAGCCAGCTGGTAACACTGCGAGATGCAGCATGTTAACTATTATATTCTTTGTGCTGCGATGGCCTGACCTTTACAACTCCCAGCTATGGCAAGAAACAGATGAGGCAACAGATTGAACAATTTGGTTCTGTCAGTGCAATAAAGCAGAAGTCCTGGATTTCTCTCATACGTGCCATTCCTTTTCTTCTGCTGCCAAGCCTAGCTTTGAAGGACCACAGACAAGCTGAATTTGATAAAATTCAGAAACTACAGTAAAATGAACTTTGCACAAATATTTTCCTTACACGTCTTCTCTATGGTCAGGGTCCCTTATCTATTAATGCTCTGAATCAGTTCAGCCTATCCAACCAGCCAGGAATCACGCTGTTGGATTAGTGACTTGGGATCCGACTGGAACATCTATCCGTAACACCTTCTCTGGGGGCTGAGCGGGCATTTGCAATGGGTCTGGCCAGACTGAACTGATGTGTGGACATACCAGGACAATCTTGGCTTAACCTTTGGAAGACAAAAAGTGGGAACATGGTGGAAGCAAGGGAAGAAGAGAAGGGGAGCCACACACAGGAGGCAGCCCCGAGCCCAGTGCACAAAGGAAGCCTCTGCCTACAACCAGCTCTGCCACCCCCTCCACAGGAACCACACTCTTAAAGGAGAAGGGCAGCTGGCATCTACAACAAAAGCAAATTTATTTGGGTCCCAGTTTAGGCATAGTAAATGTAACTCCTATACCCATTCTGAGTGCTGACAAATTGTTTTCATATGAAATTGTTGGGTCTTCGGCAAATCCGTTAGTGAATCTCAAAAAGCAAAATGCTGCGGTTGAAAGAAGCCGTGAGCAACGCACCAGCAGTATCCTACGGACTGAAAAAGTCTGAAAGCTTCTGAGAGGAAAACACATTGAAAAAGCAAAAGGCTATTCTAGTATGTAACAGAGTTTAGTTTCGGCATGTTAAGACAGATCACATTTAATATATGCTGTTATCATATTGCAGTTAGTGTGCTGCTGTATCACTATACATTTGTGTTCATCCACAACAGCTGCAGTAAGAAAAGAAAACCAACATTTGCTAGT